GTTAAGTGAAATCTGACCTATATGTTTTTGAGAGACAGAATGAAGGAAAAAATATCTTTCCTTACAGTAATTGAGTAGCAGCAGCTAAGGAACAGAGTCTGTTCACTGTTCTGTTCTGTATGGGTTGCAGGTAGATTTTTACTTTCACTTTTGTTCATCATCAATAGAAATTGTTCTTACCAGATTTCTTGTGTATAACGCATGCTATAGTTTCCAGCAGCTGGTTGCGGGGGAGGGGGCGTGACTGTATGCAATAATACAGTACATGTATCAATAGCTCTCACATTTTGAAAGTCATTTTCATTTTGATAATTTCTAAACAAAAGGATTTGATTTTCTAATTTCAAAATTATTTTAATTAGAACGTTCCTTCAATTTTACTTTAGAGTGGTTAAACTTTAAATTTAATCAGAAACAAAGCAACTTGGCCCAGAATAAATGATATTTTGGTTTTAAGATAAAAAGTTTATAAAAAATGTTACTTCACCCTGCTCTAATGCACACTGAGGATTTAAACAATAGTAAGAAAAACTACTGCCCTGTTGAAAAGTATAACTAGTAGTTATGGCAGACCAGTGTAGGTTATTTTTTATTTTGCCTTGCACTTCCTTCTGGCTCTGAAAAAAAGGAATGCTAACAGTGTGCAGAGGAGTCTCTTTTGTAGCATTGCATTCTACCTATGAAGTAGACCTAACTTCTACCAACTGTTAGGCTTCTGCATGTTCCAGTTTCAGTAAAACAGTCCTGGTTTGAAGGGTCAGAAACTTGGGTCAGTCTGGCTTTTTTTAAAGTCCTTGTCATTTTTCTGTGGCATATGGGACTGATAATTTTTCACATTGGTTTCTGTATCTCTGCTTCACTGTTTTAACTGTCATAAGTGCACATATACAATGTCTCTGCAGAAAGATATGCTTAAAAAGGAATACATTGCTCAGATGAATAGTTTCTTCCTCTGAAATACTGAAGATAAGTACTTTATTTTTTCAGGAACAGAATCGGCATGAAAAAGAGGAATCACTTGCAGATGATCTCTTTCGGTAAGATTTTTTTTTGTGGAGGGTTAGTAATTTTAGTAGACACCTGATACATTATGCAATAGATTACATTATGCTCCCTGCCCCATTTCCTGCACTGCTTTGTACTTCCTTCCCTGTGCTTTCTGTCTGATCTGTTTTGCTCTGCCTTCTGTTTTCCTGCTTGTCCTCTCCATGGTCCATTGTGCACCATACACAGGGCTGCCCATTCCATTTGTGTGGCACTTGTGCACACAGGTTGGTCATCTGATATAAGTAAAACACTCTATGTAGTTGGATAAATCCCACCTGTTTAATCAGATATATTATGGGTAAATCTTCACTGTTCCTGTTTCTTTTCTGAAGTCCCTTGATAATGGCATCTGTGGAATATGCCCAACCTGATATTTCTGTCCGTCTCTTAATTTTGTTTATGCCTTAAGTTTTCACTTCATGGACTCTACTTGACTCTCTATAACCTAATATTCAGAATATCAATGATAAAAATATTTCAAATAAAATTATTTGCTACCTTATTTCCCTTCTGTTATATACATCACTTTGGTCCCTACTGGCATTAACCTGGACATTCTTTCTCACCTGTGTAAGTTCGGTTTACCTTCCTGCCCCTAGAGCAGCAGTTCCCAAACTCTGACTGATTGTGCACCACCAATTTAAAGTGATATAACCTTAAGTACCACCAGCAAATTTTTGTCACATAAAGTAATTATAATAAATCTGTTAATGCATACCACTGACAGGTTGTCTGCATACCACTGGTGGTACCTGTACCACAGATTGGGAACTGCTGCCCTAGAGTTTACCAGTGCCTCCACAATTGCATCTCTGTTGGTTGGACAGGTTAGTAGGGTTGTGCAAAGCTTCAGTCACTGGTTCAATTTGGTGGAGATTGGGCCCGATTCAGCAGCCAAATCTCTGAATCTGAATCGAATCAGGAGACCCTTTCATCTCTGTGAATTAAATCAGAACCCTCCAAATCGATTTGGAGAGATTCAATGATTCAGACGTAAACACAGCTTTAAATGCATCTTTCTGTGTATCTCGAGGTACCAGGCGGCTTCCGAATGCTGAGATGGTGGGGTGGATGGATCATCCCATGGGAACGCGGAGGGTGCCCAGCACGCTCAGTGGTGGACCCCCCCCCCCGGCTTGACAGCTGGTGCCTCCTGGGTCTGGGGGGGCACCTGGGGCCTCCCTGCAGCCGATTTGCTGAGCCAGGGGGTGCAAGACAGGGATCCCCTGAGTGCTTAGTAGTGAACCTGGAAGTGGTGGACCAGAAGCGCTCCCATGGGACATTCCATCCGTCCCACCATTGCAGCGTTCAAGAGCCACATCTCGTACCTCGAGGTATGTAGAAAAAGCATTTAAAGCTGTGTCTGTGGCTGAATCGGGACAGTGATCCGAATCAATGAATCGAATCACTCCCTGATTTTTGGGCTGGATTCAAATCCAGTTTGGCCCCTACAGCTTGGACCTCTGGCTAAACCACAGATTTTCTTTTTCAGAAGAAATAAAGGCAATGCAAAACAAACTCCTTGCAAATTACAGCTTTTTCATCAGGCTTGGATAGACCTCCTCTCCTTTTTCTCAGAGCTTCTCCCTTCAGATAGGGCTCCAACATGGTCCTTTTCCTCCTTTATTTCTGCTTCAGGCTATTTCTTCAAGGCCTTTCTTCATGAAAAAAGATGTTTCCTTTCTCTAGTTTTCTCCTTTGGTAGAAACTTCTAGCAGATCTTACCATCTCTCTGATCTTGTTCCAGACCAAGGAAAGCAGGCCTTTTTATGTACTAGCTAGCAGTATTAGCAGGCTGCAGTTAACATGTTTACCGACTCAACTGCAGGTCATAAAATCCTTTGCCCTTGTGATACTGTTCTCTCTTGTAGGTCTGTAAATCTGTCATCTCTAAGAAACTTTGTTTCCTAAACTCTCTTTACCTTTCTGATGCTGGGAATCCTCATTTTAGTTTCTGTTCCCCTGCCCTATCCTAATCAGTCCTCTTCTCATATTGTTCCTTGTCCAGTGGACTCTCCAACTCTAAGTCGTCATTTTCTTGGGCTGTGATTTCTGACCAATTCTAATAAAAAAAAAAAAAAAGGTCTGGCTCCGAGCTGAGTTGGCTTATCTTTATTCAGTTTCTGGAACTCAGCCAGTATTATTGGCTACAACATTTTTACATATGAAAATTACATAATATAAAATAATATATCACACTTGCATATGTATATGTAAGTTGTACTCTTACATGAAATACTTTGACTGCAGCCTCACCAATGAAATGGTTCTGCAGTAAACATTCATTGTCTTTATATAATATTAGCAAGTAAATCTTCTAACTGCTGAAAGTCAGAAGACTTCTTGCTCTGATTTTTGAAGCTACAGTTGGCTTCAAAGATCTGTAAACATTTCTACATTTTGCAGTGTGTAGAATTGAGACTCATGTAGGGGATGGAAGGATAAGTGAAATGATTGAATGTGATACAAGACAAAATACTGTGCTTAGTGTAACTGAATTATTTCAAAACCGAATCCAAGATTTCTGTTTGCTATAGTATGTCATAAATTGTGATGCTAAGCACAAATCGTTAAGGAATGCTGCCATTTTATTTACTTAATTTTTTTTTCCTGTTGCATTTAAAGTGTGCTCATTAACTGCAGTATTCTATCGTGGCTCCAATTTTACATAGTGCAGGAGTGTCAAAATCATCTGATCGCGCAGATGAGGGCCAGAGTTGATGCATGTCACCACGTGTGGCGGGCCAGAAGGGGCTGCTCCTACACTGAGCCACCCACCTCACTCTGCCCAACTACCTACCAAGCGCTGAGTGCCTCCCCGGGGGTGCCTCATGTCTGGCTGACCACCTTTCTGGAGCACACCCCCAAGCCTGGGGGTACTGATGCCACCACTCAGGGGTCTGGACTGTTTCTGGGCCCTGTGCCCCCTCTGGGGTACATAGGCCTTGTAGTCCTTGAGGGTGCTTGACCCACAGTGAGAACTTGGGGTGCTTCCTTTAGCCTGAAGCATAAAAAGGTAGCCTACCGTAGCAAACTGAAACACAGGGAGACAAAGGCAGGCCCCTATCCCTCTCCCAGCCAGTCCACCATGCATATAATAGTGGAGAGCTTTATTGGTTAAAGAAGATAGGCTTGGGGAAGGGTACAGGATAGAGAAGTATCTAGCCAAAGAGAGATGCCATCAAATTTAACTACAGAGCCTCACTTCACTCAGTAGTTAAGTACACTAGTTTGAAGGAACTGGCAGCCCTTGGACAGCTTTAGACTTGCATTTTTGGTTTTAATGCCTCAATATTAACACTCCACTGTTAACCATGTATTACTTTCCCAGAGGAACATATTAACTAAATCACCAACAGAGAAGCATTCTGTTACAGTATCCTGAACCCTGTAGGAACCTTTCTAAATTCTAAGCATATATGAACAGCTTGTAGCTGATGATAGCAAGATAGTTTCAAAGCACATGCATTTTTTTTTTTGCAATACCTCTAAGTTACTTAGAAACAGCAGTGACCTGCAGTACATTTCTAGTTAGGCTTACAAGTTGTGACATTTTACTGTCTATGCAACAAAGGGGCTTAGTGAATGGGATCAGAATTAGGGGAAGTAATTCTGCCTGATCATTCCATTACAGCAGCTATAAGCTGTTCATTCATGTGTAAAAACAAAGCACTTTCGAGTTTCAAAGAAGCAAAATGGGGTGGTTGTTTTTTCTGGGCTGGGACCAGGAGTAGAAAGAGAAAAAGGGGACTGTAGCTTGGCTTTCAAAATAAAAACACTTTTATGTACATAAAATCATTTTGTGTCCTGTCAAAAGCGATAAGAAGAGATTGAGAGGAAGAGCTGGGGGGCAGGGCTGTAGGGAGACAGAAGGGTTTTGTAAATATTTTTCCAAAGTTACCTGTAATGTGCGACATACCATTCAGTGATTTTTCTTTATTGAGAGGAACTTTAAGTTCTACTTGTGATATACACAGGGATTTTGGAAATCATGTTCTTATCTGCAAAGATATTTTACTTTTAATTAATAACAATAACAAGCACAGTTCAGAACACCCTCAGTTCCCATTGACTTAAATGGGACCTGGCCTGCAGTACCATGGACCTGTTCTACAGTAAGGAAAATGAAATGTCAGACCTTAACTAACTGTAACTTAGTTTTGATGATCAAAGGCATCATTCTGGTTATAACAAAATTCCTTCTTTTACTTGTAGATATGATCCTCATGTGAAAAGGAGAAGATAAGCTTGAGTTCATGATGAATCCACAGCAAAATATGTTTTGCCGCCACTTACCAATATGTTTACTGGCTACCATTTGTCATATGTATGGAGAGTTTAAACTACATATTGTGAAACTTGTTTTTAAGCCCTGCTTTTATTAAAAAACAGATAAAAATAAGTTTCATTGTTCAGTGCTTATGATTTCTGGACTTCTGGGTTCAAGAACTTAAAATCCCTTTGCTTTAGAGCAATGTTCTTTAAACCATCCTGGATATTTTAGGTTTCACTTCAAGTTGTTACTTTCCAATTGCACAGCAACAGGTGTTAGTTACAGTTTATTTTGAAAAAAGAAATTATTGGTAATTCATCTGACTCCATTTTAAAAACAGCCAACTTGATTTGTTTAGCCCTGTACTGTAGTGATTACTTGCCCTGCGATAGGCTTGTGTGAATGGTGTATAAATAAAGTACAGATGTTTAAACTACATGAAATTCATTTTTATAAGGAAAAAAGTTTTACAAATTTCTTTAAACTGACTTAACTCTAGCACCTTTTCCGTGTTTCTGTGTTTATTTTATTTTAAAATGAAATGTAATAGGCTTCTGCTTTCACAGAAATGCTAAAGGTTTTGGGGGTTTTTAATGGTATAATATGACTATCTGTATGTCTTTATGGGTGGAGAAGTTCCAGAGGAAAATTATCAATAACTATTGCAACACAAATTTTAGTTTGCAGAACAAGTTAATATAAGATAATTTATACCCTAATTATTAATGTTGTCAGAATAAAATTTCTCTCTAGTTGTCAGGGCAGCTTATGCTCAGACTTGTCAGAGACAAGACATGACTACAAATAACGGAGTTTTCCCATACCATGGACAGCATTTGGAGTATTCTCCTTAAAACATCTGCTCAATCTGAGGATATTAATAATAGGTCAATTTTGTTTTCAGTTTTGTGACTTATTTCCTTTTGGTAATTTTTAAAGGAAGATTGTATAGTTTAGCCAAAAAAAGTTCCATTTGTACAAAATATTGCTGTCATCTAGTTAAAATTGTAACGTAATTAAATGTTGCCACTTGTAAAATTCTGTAATGTATTGTGTGTCAAGTATATTCCAATATATTCCATTCCAGAATATACATTTAATTTGGTGATAGGAGACTGACATCCTCTGGTGAGAAGATGGGAAAAATTAAATACTTTGTAACCAATTCCATCTGACTGTTGTACTGGTCTGGCTTTTGTGACCTTAGCCACTGAAGAGTGGAGGAAAGATGTAGCTTCTGATTTTTCCTTCCATTTTTAAGCAGTTCTCATAGGGCTTTCTTGCCAGAACTTTCACATTTTTAAAGTTACTGCCTCAAAGCAAGAACATTTTGAGCTCTTCTGTGTTGTTGAGCATCAAATTTATCTTAATGGAAATATGCTGGTTTAATTTTAAACCAGCACAATCAGTTTGTTTAATGAACTTACTGCAATCACCAATTCTTCATTTTTAACCGTTGTTTTTCCAATCGGTCTTTTCAAATACGTGCATTTCTTAATTTAGTTTCACAAGGTTTAACAGTAGAACTAAAAAACTTGCTGACATACCATACTTAGGCATATCTATGATGAGGTGTGTGTTTGTTTTTTTTCTGGAACAACATGGGCGTGGGGGAGGAAGGGGGCTTCAGCTTGGATTTGAGTACTGGCCCATGGCAGGCAGTTCAACTCTGAGCCTGGGGTTAAAGCCAGAGCTAAAGTCAGAGCTGAACTGCCCCAGGCCAGCATGGCTCATTTGATGGGAGATGGGGCACATGGCCAGGAGGAACACAGGGGAGACTGCAAAGTATTGGGGGACCTGTAGCCCCCAACCAATGCCCTGCCCTCCTATGTCTGCTCCCTCGCTCTCTGCCCCCCTGCTGCCTTCCCACCTCTTACTTTTTGCTCCAGCTCCATCCCTGACCCTGCTCAGCTGGGAGCTGCTGCCACTTCTCTCTGGCAGGGCATAGCTGGGGTCAGTGCTGCTGCTGACTGCTCCAGAGGAGCAGCCCTACAGAAGAAGGTAAGAAGTGGGGTGGGGGCAGGGGGCAGTCATATGCATGGGGGGCAGGGAGTCATGTGGGGGGACAAGCACAGGACAAAGAGGGGGCCAAGGGGTAGAGATTTTGATCCCTTTCCCCTTGCTGCTGCTTTCTCTACCACAGCATTGAGGAGAACCAATTTAGGGTGACCTGTTAATTATATTCTAGACATGGAAAATAATACATAATTTTCTATGTATAGAACCTAATTTTTGGGGGGCTGCTTAAATTAAACCGTTCACGTAGATTTTTAACCTGTATGTAGGACCTTTTACCTAACGTAGGAGGTGTATGGTCCTACTAGGGGGAATGCCTTACTAGACTTGGTGTTGGCTATGGGGGAGGACCTGGTAGGGAAGCTGCAGATTCATGGTCATGTCGGGGACAGTGACCATCAATCAACTGAATTTTCCATGCAGTATAGGGTGGGTAAAATAATGTAGGGTGGAAGTGCTTGACTTAAGAAGGCTAATTTCATTGTGCTTAGGAGTCTAGTCAATGACGTGCTGCAGTAGAAGAGTATTGGCAAGATGGGAGTCCAGGAAGGATGGTCTGGCTGTTCCTAAAGGAAGCGATGCTTCAGGCACAGGGAGACTATCCCAGTACAAGGGGAAAGGAGCCAAAAAAAAGTCCTTGGCCAAACAGGGAAATCCAAGGGAGCCTAAGGGCAAAAAAGAAGCCATATAGGCGGTGGAAGCAGGGGGAAGCTACCAAGGAGGAGTATACCTGCTTGGCCCACACTTGCAGGTAGGCAATTAGAAAAGCCAAAGCAACTACAGAGCTGAGGCTGGCAACACAAATTAAGGACAACAAAAAATCTTGTTTTAGGTATGTAGGGAGTAAAAGGAAGGCATAGGGCAGCATTGGACCCCTACTGAACAAGGAGGAGCAATAAGTGACAGGGCTGAGCTATTCAATGAATTTTTTGCCCTGGTGTTCCTGAACAGGGCTCAAGATAAGTCTCCTAATGGGTTCTTAGATGGGCATCAGAGGGACACCAGCCCACCAACTGTCGATGCTGACTTGGTGCAGAGTCACTTGGATGTACTGGATGTGTTCAAGTCAGCAGGCCCGGATGAGCTGCATCCGAGAGTACTGAAGGAATTGGCTGGTGTCAGCAGAACCACTGGCATGGCTGAGTACTTGCGGTGCTCAGGTCAGGTGGTGTTTTGTGGTCATGTGCTGATGAAACTTCTGATATCCAGCAATGTGGCAAATAAATCTTGTTCTACTTGAGTAATTTTGCTTTTGTGCTGGTGTGAACACTTGCAATCTGCTGCTGTGCTGTTGAAGCTGCTGCTTGTGAAGCGTCTACCTGTTGTGCTAATCCCCATTATAGTTGCAATTTAACTTTGTTTCAACACTGAGGTTTTCCTTCATGGTTTGGAGAATCTTGTCCAGATATGCTAGCTCAGTACCAGTTGCTGGTTTTCTTCACTCTTACAGCCCATAGAAACAATATGATTTTTTGGTCACTTTGGTGTATAAATCTACACAGCACATTCTCCATTACTTTTTGGGGGGATGGAGCCTTCTAATGGGTTTCTTGCTTTCAGTTTGCTTAGATTAGGTCTGATGCCTCGTTTCTAGTATAGGACCAAAAAACCTCTCTTGCTTATTTTCAATCTATTTCTGCAATTAGTAGTGTTTCTGTGGCGCATTATATTGCATAGAATCTTTCTTTTCTTTTTTTTTTTTTTTTTTTTTTGGT